ACGCTTGTCTTTTTGAGAAGAACTGATTGTTCACGTGAACTTGTCACTGACGTAGTGACTGTGAATTAAAATATACGAACGATTAGCGCCCCATCCATTCGTTTCGATCACGTAGAATATTTTCGGAAGAGCGATTCTACTGGCCAAACATATATAATTAGCTTCATTCTCATCAATTGCGTGCTCCAATTCTAATAATGCAAAATCACCGCTTCTACAGTTCTGCCTGAAGAAACGACCATATTGTGCTCTGCAAGCATTATAATATTAATTTTGAATATTCAGATTCAAGTACTTGCAGCAATTAATTACAAGAAATCAAAAATGTAGTATTTTTTGATACTTTTGGTGATGTACAGATCCAAAGTTCATAATTCTGTAATAATAACTTTACATGTCATAAATGTATAATTTAATTATTTGACAGCATAGCAAATAATTTAAATAATTGTTAATCAGAATGACAACGATATCTGCCAAGTCTCTGTCCAAGCACATACTAGTCTGAATTACTGCATCACATGAGCAGCTCAGTTTTCGGCAGTAATAATTTGCATAATGAGCAGTGATGGATTCTGGTATTAATGGCTGTGGCTGTGGGTGTGATAATTTTTTTCCATAAATGAAATGTTCGGAAAGTACGCAGTGACCTTATGATTCGTAGTCTTCGCATCGGAGGTGAGTTTATACAGTCAACGGTACTTTTTGGTTGCAAACAATTTGATCCGTACAATATCGTCGCTTTTTTCAACACTTCTTCTTCTCTCATTGCTATATCCGATCTACGAGCAAATTTTTTTACTCTCATATGCTCAATCCATCCATGATAATATGATTAAAACTTTATACACATGGTGTCTGATAAGATTCTGAAAGACAGTTTATTCTGCCAGTTTATGATGTCGAAGGATGGACGGTTCCAGAGGAGAAACAAGTTAATATCCTGCATGCAAGAAGTAGCAGAATTGCTTATGTAAACCAAATTATCAAAATTTCAAATTTTATTTGGAGAGGTCAAAATTTGAATTTGAATTGTTTTTT